ATCTGAAGCTTATCTGACTTAGCCACCCAGGAGACCACAGGACCTTGTCTTAGACACTAATATTGACTTCCTTAGATGTGTCCTGATTTTTTGTTGCTGTTCATTTGCTGGGTCAGGGAGCATCACACATCCTGTGAGCGGCCGTGAAGCCTCATGGGCCGTGAAACAGGGAGTCTCAGCTCCAAGGACTTCCCAGCATTTCAGAACCACGGAACACTTAGCCCCTTCATCATACTACTACTGCCAGGCGCCTACCTGAGCATGAATGAAAACGAATCGAGCCTGAGCTCATGACGAGCCCAACCCTGTCCAGAAAAATCAATACAGGTTTCCCCATATTACGTAATAGGTGAGTTCCTGAAAAGTTGGAGGGAAATCAAATTTTTTCCCCAGTTCACCATGTACTGAGCACTGGAAATCCCCTCAGTGTTGTGCTGAGGCCAGGTGTGTGCACACATGTGGGTACACACATGTACACATGCACAGCCGGGATTCTTTGCTCCAAGGTGCTTCCGTTGTTACCAAGCCACATAAAAAATACACCAAAGGGGCTTGCTAATGGCATCACGTGGTAAACCCTCCTTGTAAAATGGGAAGAATCGCTACCTAATGAACCTTTTGTTTACTTTTTTGCAAATGTTTATATTTGTCAGTTTGGATTTTCATAGTAGAAGCCTTTTTCAGTTCTGCCATAAGGCAAACCTTGAACGAATATTCGTTGAACATTCTTTGACTAAGGGAACATAGTTTAAAGTCAAGGAATCCCCATCCCTGACAATCACGTTTATGGATGGGTAGGCACCTCAAAGAGGACTTTTCACATCTTGGTACCTATTGGTTTCCATAAGAACCTCATCAGGGAGCAAAAGCAGGCCTTTATTATGCCATTTCAAAGGTGAGATAACTGAGGCCCCATAATGAGCTTCCTCAAATCAGTATCTGAAAAACGTCTGATGGAAGGTCCGTCCAGACTTTGCCAGCGGAGAAAGCTCCAGCAATGAAATCAAGACAATTTTAGCTCTCTTGTCCCCTTGGCTGACCTGATCTCAGCTTCATCAAGGGTACATGTCTATCCCCCCCAAAACTCAAGCCCTTTTTTCTTTTCCCCAACTGCCACATCCTGTTGCTTCCAGGCTCGACATTCAACTCTGAAATCTGGGCCCTATCTCTCAGACCCCATCTCTGCTTAAATGCCTCTTCTCCACCCCCCAGCCCCATCCCCTTCCCTGCGTGTGACCCTCTGCCCTGACAACATTCATTGGCTTGACACTCCGGAGCCCCTCCTTTACAATGCACACTGGACTGGGGACTGGAGATATAAGGCCCAATACAATGTGGGCCCTGCCCTGTGGGAACACAGCTGAGTGGAAGGTGCCATGAAAGAAAGCTGGATGGAGGACTCAACAGCACCCAGGAGATCATTTAAATCTGATTGTGGTCCTGGGGGAAATCTGAGTGGTGTTTTGAAGGATGAATAGGAGTTTATCAGATTGGCAGGGGAAGCTGGGGTGAGGGGAGGGGAGGACAGATTCCAGTGAGAGGAATCAGGCCAGGCACAAGTATGAGGTGTGAATTGGCCTGGCATGTTTAGGACCCTGGCAGGAGCTGACAAGGGGGAGAACAGCAGTAAGGAGACACAAAGTTGCAGTTGGGAAGGGAAGTGGGGCCCGAAAAGAGGGCTGCTATTTCCACACACATTTGGATTTTATCTGAGGGTCCCTACAAAGTTTTAGGCCAGGGTCTGGTATGATCAGATTCAAATTTTAGAAAAAGCACTCTGAGAGACGCGCAACGAATGGATGAGGAGATAAAGGGCACGTTTTGTTCTGTACACTGCTGTGTCAGCCCCTCTGAGGTGTGCTGGCAGCGTGGGTGCTCACTGTTTGCTGAAGGGATGAATGAATGACCCAGTAGGCAGCTTACTGCAGAAGCCCAGGGGAGGTCCTGACAAAGATCGTGAGAGTAGAGAGGAGGGGATGGACATGGGACAAGTATAGGGTTGGTCTCCACTGGGGTCTTATTGGGAAATGCAACAGGCTAAGATCTTCCCTGGAAAAAATGAACAGTGGAGAATTAGTTACAAAAGTTTTGGAAGAACAGAACAACATGGCTTATGTATGTTTTTTGGGGTGGGGGGTGGGAAACCCAGAGATTAGCAGCATCAGGAAGCTGCTGCCACCGGAGGGCCTGGAGGGACGAAAGAGGTGGCATTTGATCCCAGGAGCCAGAGTCCCTAGAGTAAAGCAGAACTGTGAAGAGGGAGGGCCGCTAAGGTTGGGTTCCTGAAGAAGCAGAGTCAGGGATGGAGACTAGCGTGAGAGGCTTCTCAGGGAATGTTCTTGGCAGGGAAGGGACTGAACAGGATTGGGCAGAGGGCAAAGCTGGGCTGAGTGCAGTCTCAAGGAGGGCCTCAGATGACCGTCAAGCTGGGAGCCCCTTCAGAGTCCAACCAAGTTGGGGCAAGGAGGCTGGACGCTTTTACTGCAACCACTGGATATAGACCTCTTGGGAAGGGAGTGTGACCTTGGGCAAGGTAGCTCTGCACAGTGAAGGCAATTTTCCAAAGGGGATCCCAAAACGTAAGCCCAGCAACTGGAGAAATAAATCCAGAAGGGGGATCCGGCAGCACATCCCAGTAGCGCTACAGAGGGCTGCCTAGGTGGGGTGGGAGCCACAGAGGAGCGGCAGCCAGTGCCCGGGCAGAGAGAAAAGAGAAAGGGAAGCAGTAGCAGCTCCCCACCTTCCCATCTCCCTCTAGGCCCTCTCACTGGGAAACGAGGCTGGAAGCTAGTGGGTAAGAAAGCATGGTAACGAGTTTGCCAGGGGCAGTGCCAGAGAGCTGTGCAGGGGAGGGTAGGGGATGGCTCAGAGAGATCTAGGATGGCCCCAGAGACTGGCTGGGGGTAATGGGAAAAGGGCAGATTCGAGGGGAAGTGAGTGCCCAGGAGGGTGGGTGGGGTGAGTGCCGGTGATGCTTTCTCCCAGAAGACAGAGAAGGAAGTGCACCCCTTGGAGGAAGGTGCTGCTGGCTCATGTTGAGTTTGCCTTCCAGGTGCAGATGCCCAGCTGGTAGATCAGTGGCTCTTATAACCCGCACGGAATAAAATGAAAGGAGGAAAACCTCAGGTAGGCTCTGTCCTGGCCACAGGACCAAGGGCAACCTCCTCAGCATGGCACTGGAGCCCTTCACAACTTCTAAAGCTCCCACCACCCTTGCTTGCCTCTGAGCCAACCTTTCTTCCCCTGATAGCCGCCATTCATACCACGCCCCCCCCCCCCCCCCCCCCCCCCCCCCCCCCCCCCCCCCCCCCCCCCCCCCCAAGGATCCCACAGTCCCACACATCCACCCAGGTCAAACACTGCCTTCTAGCTGGCACTCCTCCCTAGTGCTCTTCTCCCAAACACACTGTAATCTCTCCCTTGGGTCCCCATGAGTGCTTAAGAGCCTGAAAGCTCCACCGCTCACTAACTACTCCAATCCAGCAAGGAACTCAAATCGTTGAAGGCTTCTTCTATGAAATGGGGCAACCCCCATCCCCCAGGCCAGTTGTAAAACCAAAGCGAGGTATTATGTGTAAAATGCTAAGAACAGTGCCTGACACATTACAGACCTCAATTAATGTGAGCAGTTATTCTTTGCATTTCCAATGTCTAATCCCCAGCATCTGGACCTTAGTAGATGTTTAATTAGTGTTTGTTGAATGAATGGAGATTTAATATGTAAAAGAATTTATCCTTGGGGCTCCACCTCGTTTTAGAGAATTAAGCGTTGAGCAGGAGTGCAGAAGTCGCTCTGAAATAGTTACCTGTGTTGGGTTGTCCAGAGACCCGAAACGGACTCGGTTCTCTCAAGAAAGAAAAACGGCAGATTTTAAATTATTTTCTCATGGAGGTTTCTTGGTGCAGGGTCTGGCACACATTTCATGCTCACCCAAATCACGCTGCACGAATGTACGCACACAACCTGGCAGGGATGTCCGGGTGTAGGCAGTATCACAGTTGGTGGCCACAATGACTTCTACTCCCCTACCCGCCCACCACGGAACCCGGGCTGCCACCGGGGCCCCGGACCCTGCTGCGCGTGCGGAGGCCGGGGAGGGGGCAGGAATCTGGCGGCAGCCACGTGGGCCCCTTCCGCCTGTTTCCCACATCCTTTGTTTCCCACCGGCCCCGGCTCAGGAAGCTCTTTCTGCGAGTCACCGCGAAGGGGCGGCCGGGGAGTCTGGAGAAGCTATTTCCGTGCAATCCGGGAGGGCGGCAGGCGCGGGAGGGGCGTGGAGGTGGAGGCAGCGCAGAAGGCCCAGTGTTTGCTTTTATTTCATCCAACAGAAGGTGCTATTTGTGGAAGCGAACAGACGCTGGGGATTAGAGCTGGGAGGGGGAAGGAAAAGGGGAAAAAAAAAAAAGTCACATCCACTACCACGCATAGGTCTTCCCCGGAACTACCGCGTGGGGGTGAATGACTGATTCTGGAATTCATCACCTTTCCTATCCTCCCTTCCTTTGGCGGCAGCCGGGCCTGGGCGGCGCCCACGGCTCCTATCCGAGGTCTCCAGGCTGGCGGCGGTGGAGGGATCCCTGGGGCGAACGGCGTAATCGTCCCGCGGCAGCGAGCAGCTGGGGCCGAGAACCGTGATGCGCGCGCCCGCAGCCCATTGTGCTCGGTGTGAATGAGGAGCGCGCACCAATCAGCGGTCGCTTCGCCCCCCCGTGGCCCCGCCCCCCCCGCCCACTTCCCCGGGACCCTGACGTCACGGGAACTTTTCCTCCGCCCCCTCCCCGGCTGCTAGAGCCCAGTCCCGGGCCTGCGGGAGGGGGCGCGCCGCCTCCTGCCCATCCCAGCCCGGGGGGCGTGTGCGCGCGTCCCAGCCCGCTCGGGACACACCACCTGCCCCGGAGCGCGCGCAGCCCGGAGCATCTCCAGCCTTCGGGCCACCCCCGTTGCCCCCGCCGACCCAGCTCCACCTCCTCCCCCGGCCCCCCTTGTCCCTGTCTCCTCCCTCCGCTTCGGTGACTGCTTGCCGGGCGGCAGGGCCAGAGTCGTCGCAGCCACCTCATTGCTCAACCAGGCTTCCCAACTGTTTACACAGCCCGGCCTGTGAGTGTGTGTGTGTGTGTATACAGCGTGAGTCACCGAGAGGCGGAGGAGGTGGAGGAAAAGGAGAAGGAGGAGTGCACTGGCCGGGATCGGTGCGGCGCACACACTCACTCACACTCAGTCACTCTCTCCGAGCGCGTCTCGCTCGCTCACACACACGCCGGGAGCCCAGGAGCGCGCAGGATCCCGAGCGCCGCGGAAAAGTTGCTCCGGCTTTCTCTCCGGGACTTCGGGCTTTCGGAAGTGCATTCGCTCGGCGGCTCCGGCGAGCCTGCGGAATCCTGCGCTCGCGGCTCGGGACGTCGGGAACACCAGCCGCCGCCGCCTCTGCCTCCGGGACTGTCGGCGGCCTCGACAACAATAGCGGCGGCCGCCTCCGGCCAGGCGCCCCGAGCCGGTGCCCGCGGAGATCCCGGACCCCAGTCGGACTCTGCTCCCTCCGGACGCGCGGCCAGCGTGCTTCCCGCGTGCAACGCGAGCGCCCGGGAGCTGCTCCTGCCTCGCCCCCCGTGGGGGCTGAGCCGAACTCCGTCTGCAAAGTCCATCCCGCCCGCTGGAGTAGGTCTCGGCGCCGGCGCCGAGCCCGCAGCGCCTTCCCGCGCGGATCCCGGGACCTACAAAGCCGGGGCTGCCCCGGCCCGGGACGGGATGCGGGTCGGTCCTGTGCGCTCTGCCATGAGCGGCGCCTCGCAGCCCCGCGGCCCGGCCTTGCTGCTCCCGGCCGCCCGGGGCACCCCGGCCAAACGCCTGCTGGACGCGGACGATGCGGCTGCCGTGGCGGCCAAGTGCCCGCGCCTCTCCGAGTGCTCGAGTCCCCCGGACTACCTCAGCCCCCCCGGCTCGCCCTGCAGTCCGCAGCCGCCGCCCGCCGCGCCGGGGACTGGCGGCACCTCCGGGAGCGCGGCGGGACCCAGCCGCATCGCAGACTACCTGCTGCTGCCCCTGGCGGAGCGCGAGCATGTGTCCCGGGCGCTGTGCATCCACACCGGCCGGGAGCTGCGCTGCAAGGTAGGCGCCCGGGGTCGGGACCTGCCGCGAGGTTGCGGGGGCGCGGTGGCCGTCAAAGGCGCTTGGGGTCTCGCTTGCCTGCGCCGGGGCCTCAGGTGCCACCCGCGGTGACTCGAGCGGGGTGGACCGGTTCACACCCCTTGGGGGATTGAGGGATTTCGGATGGAGCAGTAGAATGGGGGCTCGGCCGGCAAGAGGAAGTGCGGTGTTCAGTGGCTTTATCTCTGCTTTGCTTAGCGCCCACTTTAGCGCACGGAGTTCCAAAGAAGTTGTGGAATTGAAATGGATTCCAGGGCCATGCCATTCCCCCCTGCCTCATTTTCCTGGCTTCCCCCGCCCCTTGTCGTGGAAGGACGCCCTGCAGTGGGTGCCTCCTTGGAGCTTGGAGCAGCTGGCAGCTCTCTCCCAGGGTTCCAAGGCACCTGGGCTCCGCTGTGGGTGGTGAGGGGGTGGGAAGACAGTGTCAGGCTCGCGGCTTGGGGATTCCGGCTTGAACCCGCGCGGGGATGAGAACCTCGTTCTCCCCAGAGAGCAGGTCTGAGGCGGTCTTCCAGCCAGGGCGGGGGATTTACCCCGCGCAGAAGTGTTGGGAAGCCGGTACCGGCTAGGAACCTTCGCTTCCGTTCATGTCTTTATTTGCCGGCCAGCGACTTTCTTTTGGACGTGAGAGGTTCCGCTTCGGAGGAGATACAACTCCTGGAGACGGGGTCCTCCGCGTGCTCCTCCAGCGCCTCTAGACGCGGAACATTCCCACAGCCCAGCCTTTGCGAGCCTGACACCCGGCTGCTGCTTTCCAACCGAAGGACAGGGTCACCCTTTAGTTGAAGTCGTTCTTGGGTTGTCCGCAACTCACCTGAACTCCACCCGCGCCCCCCCCCCCCACCTCCCGCCCTGGTCCCGGGCCTGCTGCTGCCACCTACTGTCCGACCTGAATGAAATTTCAAATGCGCGCTCCAGCTGGGTTTAAGGGCGTGGGGGGGGGGGGCGGTAGGGAGCTTTTCTTCTCCGTCGTGGGGCTAAGAGCGGTTTGGGGAGGATATGTGTGTGGGGCGGGGTGGGGGGGGGAGCGGCAGAGAGATTTTTCTAGCCGGGGCCAGGGCAGCCAGACCTCCGAGGTGGGGTGGGTCTGGCCATTGTGCAACCCCTTCCAGTTCCTCTGAACAGATAATAGCTGAATCCAGATGGTGACAGCCCATGTGTCACCGTTTCCAGTTGAGTCTAGGATATGAGTAACCCGACCAAACAAAAGGCCCTTAAAGAGACCAGCTAGTTTCTGAGAGGAGATACTACCCATTTCCCTGGTGAAGGTGGGGGTGGGAGGAGATAAACAAATGTAAAAACCAGGGAGACCATCCCATATCCCTCTGGTGACAATTTTAACTCCAGGCTGCTTACACCTGAGTGAGACTGTAGCAAGTTGTTTAAGGCTGTGTTGTCACAGTCTTTCTGCGAGTCATCGGTTCTTCTGACTAATGACATATCTGCATGTTCCCCAGCTCCTGCTTCCACTGCAGAGTCCCCACATTCTGTGCTCTCTGTGCTGAGAGCTTCGGGTCTGCAGCAGGTCATGCATTTTCTACTCCTGGAGATGGGGGGGGGACCTTATATCTGCTTCTTCCAGCAGCCTTGTCTGCAAACAAGGCAGGCCGCAGAAGGTGGGGGCTTTAGTAAGCTCTCGCCAGGAAGGGGGGGTGATGGCCTCATGAAAGAAGGTAACATATATAGAAGGCAGTTCTTTTAAACCATCCGTAGAGTAACCCCGTGGGTATTTGCTAGCCCAGAGCCCTGGGTGGTGCTGGTTTGGGGTGTCAGAGATAGCTGGGGCTGCATACGGTGGGGCGGCAGAGATAAGGGAGTGTCATTGAAGGGAGACTTACTGCTGACCGAAGGCCAAAGATTGAGAGCTGCAGTCCAGGATTCAGGGGACAGCCTCTGCTTCCCTAGCCTCCTAAATTGGGGGGGGGTCACCTTCTCTCTGCAGGTGTTTCCCATTAAACACTACCAGGACAAAATCAGGCCTTACATCCAGCTGCCGTCACACAGGAACATCACCGGCATTGTGGAAGTGATCCTTGGCGAAACCAAGGCCTATGTGTTCTTTGAGAAGGACTTTGGGGACATGCACTCCTATGTGCGCAGCCGGAAGAGGCTGCGGGAAGAGGAGGCTGCCCGGCTCTTCAAGCAGATCGTTTCCGCTGTTGCCCACTGCCACCAGTCGGCCATCGTGCTTGGGGACCTGAAACTTAGGAAATTCGTCTTCTCCACGGAGGAGAGGTGAGCAGCCTATGCAGCTCCTCATCCGGCCTTTTGGGGCAGGTTGCGGGGTTAGGTGCAGAGTGTTGGTTCACACCAAAGCCGAGGGCTCAGTTGTCCCAGAATTAGTATTTAGAAGTCCTCTCTCAAGGAACCATGGCCAAGGATGGTTTATTCTGCATTCTGGTGGATGTGGCCTGGGGACACCTCGGTGCTTCTTTCTGTGGGATGTCATATGAGGACAGGAGGCCTGCCCCACTTCCACTCCAAGATCAAGTTTATTCCCCATTGTGGTCAGAAAGGTCAGTTCTTCTGGGGATACAAATGGCCAACCCGCCCTTCACAACATTGACGCCTAAAGGAAGGTCTCAAATTCTTGCTTATGCCAAGTGGGTTTTTTTTTTGGTACCTAGGAAGTATCACAGGACTAAACTGTTGTATTTGCACTCTTCCGCCCTCCTTCTTTGTACCATATACCCGTTCCACTTCCGGCTGGCCCCCAGTACTTTCTTCACATTCCCTGGTGACTTTTTAGACCTCTTGTTTGGATACATCTTCAGAAAATAGCCACATTGAATAATACATGGATGTTGGCTCGAATTGGTTGGCTAAATATAGATCATGACTTCCCTCATAAAGGACAGGATGAGCTTGATAAAAGAATAATGAGACATTGAGATTCCGAGTTGAGGTTTCGGGCGAGGGAATTCAGGAAGCTGCAGGAAGTAAACCTTACCTGATTTTAAGAGGTGGGCCACATCCCTTACGGGAAGACTAAGAACAATACACTTTGTAGAATTGCGGAGGGCTGTGCATTATTTTGTTGCAGTTTTTCACGTGGGGCTGCCCCGACCTGTGCGTTTTTACCCCTGCCTCCCAATCAAAGGAAAGAGTACAGGGTTAAGTTGCCATAAAGCAGAGCTTTCTGTCAGACCTTGCAATACGTATTGGAACACAAACCGATTAGCAAAGAAAAGCAAAGCGTTTGCAATGGAGAAGTTTCCAATTCCTGGAACATGCTCCTTTGATATGTTGATGTATTTTCTGAAACATGCCTTACACACCTCCTTACTAGCTTTTGAAATCCGCGTTGCACAGGCGAATGTCATATGCACGGAGTGTGGCAACCCGAGGGTTAAGCAATGGCAGGCTGACGCTATTCGTGTAACCAGCACAGGTGCAGGGTTTTAGTACTACAGCATCCAATCAGGGGCAGACAGTGTGGGTTGAGTCATATTTTCCGTTTACAGAACCAATGGGTATTTTACATAACGACGGGGAGGTCAGGCTGAGGACATACTGAAGTTAGCACATGTATACTACACTCCAGGGAACAGGAAGGCAGGAAGAAAAAAAAACAACAACCAGACCTTTGAGAGGAAAAGAAATTGACCCATTAGCCAGTACCAAATGTTTGCATTTGACTTCACAACCAGTGACTTACTGAAACAGGGCTATTTCAGAGAAGCAGGGAGGAGCACAGTCGGCTACCAGATGATAGAGGCTCCCCACGTGCCTCTGGGCTTTGGGGGAATCCGTGAACCGTGGGTGGCTCGGTCTGAGTAAGGAGGCACCAGCAGCTTCGGATGAGAGCCTTTGCCTAAAGATATTTTTTCAGACCTTAGCGGTTACCTGAACAGATAAGCTCCCAACGTGGAAGGAAGAGGGTCAGGTGTTGATGGGCTCTCCGTGTGTACACATGTTCATAGGCCCTGCATCTCTGAAATCCATCAGCCACTTCTGTTTGCTCCTATAACCTCTTGGTCCAGGCTCATGCAATTAAACACCCCAATAAGTATAATTAACATTCCTGGTGCCTTGCCTATCACAGTTACCCCGGCCTGGGCCCAGGTGGACGGGGTTCCCTCTGTGTGTATATGTCAGCGTGAGCAAGAGTGCTGACAATGTGAGCATAATACTAGTGACTTGGGGCCCCATGTCCTGTAGTGCAGAGTGTGGGCCTGGGTAGCCCACAGGGGCATGGTAAGAATAAGATGGGCCTGTGGGATGCTCAGCTCCCCGCCCCCCTCCCGCCGCCCCCACTGAAGAAGTAGGATATACTATTCTTCCCTGATAGCTTTGTAAAAAATGTCAGCATTCCCCTAAGACAAGTTCCCACTTCTGCAATGTGAACTTTGTAAATTGTGTAACCCTATTAGGATATCTCTTCTAAGCGCTAGCATAATGAATAGTGTTTGGGGCTTTGCATCATACCCTCCGCCCCAGGCTCTCTCTCGATACTTTGCAAATGTTTATTGCAGTTCGTATTGGTTTGTGAAATCCTGAGTCCTGGGAGGTCGCAGGGCACTGCTTACTGGATGAAGGGGTAAATGGCATTCCCCGGGCCTTTGCTTTTAGAGCCTGTGGGTGCTGTTATAGAGAACGCTCTGTTTTTCATAGCAGCTGATCTGGAAGTAATAGCTCGTTTCCTCTCCTGCAGAAGCCAGCTCAGACTGGAAAGTCTAGAAGACACACACATCATCAAGGGGGAGGACGATGCTCTGTCAGACAAACATGGCTGCCCGGCCTATGTGAGCCCTGAGATTCTGAACACCACGGGGACCTACTCCGGAAAGGCGGCTGACGTTTGGAGCCTTGGGGTGATGCTCTACACCCTCTTGGTGGGCCGCTACCCCTTCCATGACTCAGATCCCAGTGCCCTCTTCTCCAAAATCCGCCGTGGACAGTTCTGCATTCCTGACCACATCTCCCCCAAAGCTCGGTGCCTCATCCGCAGCCTCCTGCGGCGGGAGCCCTCTGAGAGACTCACTGCTCCCGAGATCTTACTCCATCCCTGGTTCGAGTCTGTCTTGCAACCTGGCTACGTCGACCCAGAAATAGGAACTTCAGACCAGATTGTTCCAGAGTACCAAGAGGACAGTGACATTAGTTCCTTCTTCTGCTAATCCCCAAACCTCAGAAACCTCATAATTCTCACACTTGGCATTTCCATTTCTAAAGATGGACAGGCCTTGCGGCTGCCAGCCAGATACGTGACGGCGTGAAGATTGTAGCTGCTGACCTCAACGGGGCACCCTCTTCTTCATTGTGATGAGTGACTGGACGGGTCTGAGCCACGCACGCCCCGGTCGGCTGCCCTGCAAGGTCATTGCCCTTCTCGGCGGTCCCTCGCCAACTGCCGCGCGCTGTCGGACGCGGGGTGGTTCTGCAGCTGCAGAGGCACGAAGAGTATGGATATCTTATAGCAGCACCTGGTCAGGTGGAAGGAACTCGAACATTTTAAAGGGAGAGGAAGTAAGTCTCACGGTGGCATTTTGGGGCAATAACCGTATTTCAACGGTGTGACCAATCATCTGGGCCGATAAACCTACCATCTTTGAACTTGTCTTTGGGAGCTACCTAGCTTCTCTACTGGAAAGTTCTTTTTTGGGTTTGGGTTAACACACACCCTTTCTTCACACTCACACTTACCAGTGACCCTGCTCCTTTGTGGGAGCAGACTGTTTGAGGAGCGTAGGAGCCTGTCCGCACCACCAACCCAGACTCTCTCCTCCGTTTCCTGCCAAGACCTCATTTGCACTAATGCCTTCTTTCTGACCTTGAAATGTCCCCTTCTTTGCTAGAAAAGCACTTACCAGCTAACCGTGGAGAAGCATCACAAAAGATTCGAACTCCTGGCTATTTCAGAACTCTGAGCTCAGACTGAGAGACTGCAGATTTGTAAGGTCAACTTGAGCCCTTGGAAACCGGTACCTTTGTTGGTTCCCCTCAAACGTGTCAGCCTTTATTTAGCCTTTGTTCCCAAGACCATCTCAGGGTGGAGCATTTTGTCCAGGAGAAGAAAGATAAGGGGAGGCTCTCCTCACCTCTCCCAAGAGCAGAAGCTAAACCTCTTCGTGCTTTAGAGAAAGTGAATTTTGGATCGGCTTGGATGATGCTCGGACCCACCTCCAGGACTGTACTTTAACCCTTCATGGATATGGTCTGCCTCTGGCATTGTGCGTGCGTTTGCAGTTTTGCATGACGGGTTGTTCATATTTTAAAATTTGGTGTGGTTTACGAATCCGTCTCTGTAATCAGCACCTAGAGCGAAATGGCCCCAAATCTTTAAAGTCGGAAGAGCCTTTAAAAGTATCTCGTCTGACTTTCTTTCCTCTTTCTGTCACCTCCCGAGGCAGAAATTCCCCCCCAACCCCCGCCCCACCCTTACCCTCCCTTCAGCTTCCTTCAGGTGGGAAGCCGTTCTCTGTTTGAATGCTTCCAGAGATGGGAGCTCACTACCTACAGAAGCTTAAGAGCTTAACAGAGAAAACTGCAACTCGCATTAAAAAAAGCAGAACACACGAAATATCAGTAAATGTCTCAGTGGTTAAACGGGTAAACCAAACATACTGTATTCTGAGGAAATGGCACAAAACCAGGCAGTCATTTTTAAGGGCTACGCCTAGGCAAACACCTAACCTGCATTGTGAGAATGCTGTGGATACCTCACGTACTGTGTACTTTGTATGTATATATATTTTGCCTTTTATACCTTCGGTCCGATATGTTTTGTTGTTCTGGCTCTGAGGCTTGTTTCATTGTCTGCGTCTGTCTGAATTACCTGCGTGTCTAAAACCACGTGAAATGTGAATGATTATCGGCAATATTACCTTGACAGAATCATGGGACTCGGAGAAGAGGGAGGACAGAGGCCTCTGTCGGACTAACGTGCTCGTGGTTTTTCGACGGTTGTATCTGTGATACATTACTCGGCTGGGGACCCCGGGCTGGCCGGGGCTTCTGCCGGGAAAGCGCGTAACACTAGATCCTTCCTGTACATGTGTATATATGTGAACGGTGAGACGGCCGTTTCTGACTCGTAGAGAAGTTTTAATAAATCTGGTTTCGTAAATAGGGGCATGCATTCCTTTTGAGTCTGGTCTGCCTTCTGCCGTGTGCAGCTGCGCCGGGGATGTGAAGGTCTCCGGCCGCGGGCTCTGGAATATCACGGGGGAAATGCACACGACGCGTGACCTTTGGTGGAGCAGAACCCATTCACTTTTTCCATTGAAGTGGGCAAATTCATTTTGATGGGTGAAGCCAGTTTCGTGAAATCAGGTGGGTGAGGGCTGTGGGTTGGTGCAGAGCCGAGAAACATTTGAAGAGGAGCCATGGAACAATCCCTGTGGCTTTTGGTCTTTTTTAGGTCCGGGAGCCTTGAGAATTTACTGAAAGCTTTGGGGGGGGGGGGAAAGTGGACACAGGCAGATCCAACAGAATTCTGTTACAACTGTTCGAGGTCTGCATGTGTCCCTGAGGGCATTCCAGGCTTCCTGCCGAGTACCAGCCTCCAGCCCCCCCCCCAATTAGATTTCATTAAAAAGGCTAATTGATGCATTTCCTTTTTTCCCCTCTAAGTGTAAAACTGGAAATAAAGGGAGGAGAAACTAAAGCGACATGATTTTGAATCACAGAGGTAAAGAGAAAGAAAGGATTCTTATATAATTAGGTTTATAGCTTCTGGGTTACATCAGAATCTATTTTAAGTGAAGTAAATTAGCATTGGGAGTGATTTAAAAAAGACTTTATGCTGTAAAATGTAACAAGTATACAGACAAATGCACTTGAAAGTATTTAGCTCTGAATTTTCACAAGCCCAACGCTGGAAGACGCTGGCAAAACCAGCATCTGGATGCAGATCACTTGGAGGATCCCGGGATCCCCCGTCCTGTTCAGTCCCTGTCGGACACCTGCTCCAAGGGTCACTCCTATGGGGTAGAATTTCAACTTGTTTTCAGAGTGAAAATGAGAATGGAATAAATAAACTCTGGGTTTAAACGAAGAGGCAAACCGAAGTCACAGATGACACAACTGACTTTTTCTAGGACTCAGGCTGGGATCATCCTATGACACTGAAGTAAATTGCAACTCAGGCCTCGTGACACAGGAACTTAAAAGAAACGGGAAAAGCACATCAAAAGCAGCACGGGGAGATGGCCAAATGCTCCAGTAGCTTAGAAACTAGGAAGCCGGGGGTTGGTCTAGGGTCATCCCATGAATAAGACCTTTAAAGCTCGAAGTTCCTGTGGCCTTAGAATACGCAGTGTGGTGTCTCCTTGTTCCAACAAATCTAGACAAGGCTCCGTGGAACTCCTTGGGCACACAGAAGGCTAATACTTTGGACTTCACTGAGCTTTTTAATCTAAGGATTTCAAAACACTTTGCAAGCAATTAAGGTTACAACATATCTTAGTACTGTTGTTACATGTACCAAGTGGAGACAAATATGGGTCAGGATTGGCTGGGATGGCATGTGACGCCACAGATACCTAAATGTAATCTCTTCCCGGGTGGGAACAAATCTGGGGCAATTTCAACCCAGTTGCACTATAGAAGTTTGGAATGAGTGTGCGAGCACCGGCTGGGAAGCTGGTCACTTTTATTTCCCCTGTGTCCTCAACCTACTTCTTGTTGGAGTAAATCATGCAAGTAACATCTCCATAACCTTTTGTTCATAGCTCATCTTCTAGAAGGTTTACTCTTGCCCTCCCCCTCCTCTTTCCCCCTTCTATATTCTCAGAAGCTGAGTGAACTAGGCAAGACAAATATTATTTGCTCCATTTTGTAGATGAGAAAACTGAGTCACCGGTGTCTTTCAGTAGCGACTCCAGGGTAAGTGGCTCAGAGCTGGGACTTGAATTCGGGTCTTTGGACTCCTTCCTTGCTCAGTGTTGTTGTTGTGTCTGCACACGGCAGCATAAAAGTCGTCCGGCAGGAGATGATGATTGAAAGAGGTGGTTTGAGGTAAATACAAATACTGAGCTTTTAACCTACTTAACCTCTTCCAAAAGACCCAGTGCATGAGTCATACAGGTGGGAGCATTACCCAAGATGAGAGAGGCAGGATTGAGTAAACACTGTGACCCGCCGTGTGCCATGCACCGTGGATCTTTGGGAAACAGATGACCCAGCCTCAGGCCGAGCTCACTGAATGGGAAGCTCCGTGGGGTCAGGGACTGTGACAGTCGTATTCACACCTGGTTCTCCAGCACCCAGCACAGTGCTTGCCACAAGGAAGGTGCCCAGTGCCAGTACAGATGGTTGGATGGATGGGTGGATGGATGGATGTCTTTCAGCAGCTCAGAGAGCCACAACCAAGGACACAGAAATCTTGGGACCGGGGTCTTGTCCTATCTTGGAATCCCTTCCACTGTATGACCTTGAACAAACAGATCTGCCACTGTAGTTCTCATTTGCTCATCTTTAAACGGAAGTGATACTCTTTGATTTCCTTCTTCCGTCCCTTCAGCTGCCATCCTGGGAAAACAGAATGATTCCGCGATTCTGTGGAAATAGGTCCCGTAATGATCTTTGTCAGACTGACCATGGGAATAGTTTTGATCTCCCTTTTAAACAGCACAGCTGGGTGCCTGGGTTCCCTGTCTAATTTCGCTCTGGGCAAGGAAAGGTATTGCGGCAATGAAGATTATGGAATTGGCTTGTCAACTAGGCTTTGGCAGGGAAAGGGAGGGCAAGTGTTTAGTTATCGCCCCCTCCCCCCCCCCCCCGTGGCGGCGGGTGGGGGGGGGAAGGAGAGCGGATCTCATTACCAGCCCTGCGGAACCACGCCCATCAGGTTTTGGTGGATTCTGCAAGGATCCCAACTACAGTCGACTTGTGGTTCCTAGAAGAGGTAGAAAGGCAAGATGCAGCCAAACGTCATACCTCAGTCTTTCCAGATGTTTGACGACACGTACCTCACTCTGTCTTCTCAGCAACCTTGTAAGGTGGGTGATCTGTTCCCATTTAACAGATGTGAATGCTGAGACCCAGAGTCTGGACTGTCTGCCCAAGGTCCCTCAGCCAGCGGGGAGAGGGGCAGACTCCAGCCCAGGCCTGGGAACTGCTGGTCTTTGTCCCTTCCTGTCCTGTGCTTTGCAGATTAGGTCAGCGACACAAAGTCTTCTCTTTGGAGTAGCCGTTTTACTGGGACATTTTCTGCCAGGAAGTGTAAGTATGAGGGATTAGTCCTGTTGTCGGGCTATGATTTCTACCAGCTGAGATTATCAATGGGGTGCTCATGGCGTT